AGTGCTCTTATATCAAACCTGTCAATAACCTCCCTAAATTTACATTCGACAGATAAAGAGCGGAAATGGAAATGCAAGGTTGACTATAATAATCTTTATCACGATTGAGGAAACTTTTTCAAAATGTGGTTTTCGAAAAGGACCTCGAAAGGATATAGATGAGCATTCTCGTATTTCCTATCATTAATTAACTTTCAAATGTTGACTATCGCAGAATTTACCAGTATGCTTCTTGTCAAGAAAAAAGATGAAAACTCTAGAAAGACCGTACATGGTCAGACTTCTCAAATAATTGGAACCCTTGATTTCGTGGGACTTTCCCATGGAGCACTATCATTGTTTAAGGGGGAGGTAACACGGTCACGATTTCTGTAATGAATAAGTCATTACAAAGAAATAACCGAAATCAAAACTTTGAAAGACAACGGACCATTTTCTGAATGCTTTTAAGTTAGTTCATCGTTACAAACTCTTTGAGTTTTGTTTTTTGCATCAAAAGTGAAGAGACGACGTTGCCGTCGAGAAAAGCTTATTCAGGTTTTCCTCTTTTGATGGGGAAAACGTAGACTTCACACAAGTCTTGTTCGTCACAGGCGTCGCTGTTGCCCAAAAATTGAGTCGCTAAAGGTCCCTTTTCACGCTCGTAAATAACGCGTTGCTAACTAGACAAGAAATCGGGTAATAGTCAACGTACTACAAATCCATGGATAAGCATTTACTTTATTTTTGATTTTTCAAAAGCGTGGCCATGAATAAACCAATAAACATTAGCGTGTGTGTCGTGTATGTGTAGAGATTCTAAAATTTCCAAAAACCGCGTTTTCTTTTCTGGATTTCTGCGTGGTTACGTTAAAGGCGCAATTGATGACCTGGAGAAAAGAATCCAACATATCTTTTGGCCTATCCTCTCAGTTTCTTTTACAACGTTGCTTTAACTGAATGGGCGCATACTTTATTTTTATTTTTCAAAAGCGCGGCTATAAATAAATTAATTAATCTTCTTACGTATGTTATGTATGTGTAAAAATTCTAAGAAATTCCAAAACCGCGTTTGCTTGCCTGATTTTCTGCGTGGGTCCAATGAACGCGTTATTAATTACTTAAAGAAAAGAATCCATCTTGCTTATCCTTTCAGCTCTTTTCACACCGTTGCTGGAAAAATAGTGGGAAAAAACCATTTTGAGACATCGTAAAAAACCGCCGTACGCTCATTCGAGAATTGTCCCCCAGTCTTGGTTATTCTCACAAGCCTGGCGTTGTTTCATTCAGAGCTATGTACTCTCAGACGTCTCCATCTGTG